CTTCTGACTCTTGGTTTTGGCTCAGGTCATGATCTCAGGGTCATGAGACTGGGCCCCACTTCCAGCCCCTTTTGGGCTCTGTGCTCAGGGGGAGTCTGCTTGAGATTGTTTCCCACTGTGTACCCCCCACCCCCTGCTCGTGCATGATGTTCCCTCTCTCTCTCTTTCTGTCTCTGTGTGTCTCTCCCTCTCTCTCATTCTCAAGTATATAAATAAATCTTTAAAAAAAAAAGATTGGTCACATGTGGTGTTACATTATCGAGGGGATGGCATTTAAATAATCATTACAATCATAGCATGTTTGATTAATGGAATCATTTTGAATAAGGAATACTAAGTATTTCTCAATTATTTTGGCTACAAAGCTTGCTTGTAGTTAACGAATCAGTTAATTATTTCTAGAAGGGCAGATTTCAGGACTGTACTTGTTCCTATATGTAAACATGTTGGGAAATTTTGTCCACTTTGGGGAAAAGATGATGGTGCATTTACTAAACTCCTTACACAAACCAAATCTGGGGGAAAAATCATTTGAGAGGCCAGGTATTTGCATATGTGCATGAAAATGGAAAGGTGCATGGAAGCTTATGGAAAACAACAGAAGATCCTTGAAAACATTCTAAGGCATGCAACAGAACCTGCAGATACTCAAACAGCAGGTAGTTGAAGACATTCAGACAGATGCTCTAGTAGGCAGTTAGTTGGGGCTAGGGCAGAGACTCGAGGTACCACCTCCAGATTTTCCTCTTTCTTTCTCCTTGGAGGAACAAATCCAACTGGACAATGAATAATTCAAAAATTTCTTCTATACTACTAAATTTTTTTAAAGATTTTATTTTTATTTTAAGATTTTATTTACTTATTTTCCAGAGAGAGAGAGAAAGAGAGAGAGAGCACAAGCAGGGGGAGGGGCAGGCAGAGGGAGAAGCAGATTCCCCACTGAGCAGGGAGCCCGATGCGGGACTCGAACCCAGGACCCTGGGATCATGACCTGAGCTGAAGGCAGATGCTTAACCGACTGAGCCACCCAGGCATCCCAAAAGATTTTATTTTTAAAGTAATCTCCACATGCAACCTGGGGCTCAAACTTACAACCCTAAGATCAAGAGTTGCATGCTCTACCAACTGAGCCAGGCAGGCACCCCTATACTGCTGAATTTTTGAATATCATTCAAGCACTCTACAACTACTTTTCAACTTCTAATAAATGTGAAATATACTGAAAATACATTTATTTTTTTATTTAAATTTTGTTAGTTAACATACAGTGCAATATTGGTTTCTGAAGTCAGTGATTAATCACTACATACAACACCCAGTGCTCATCACAAGTGCCCTCCTTAATACCTGTCACCCATCTAGCCCATCCCCACTCACCTGTCCTCCATCAACCCTCAGTTTGTTCTCTATCTTTAAGAGTCTCTTATGGTTTGTTTGCCTCTCTCCTTCTTCTTTTCCCCCTCCCCCTATGTTCATCTGTTTTCTTTCTTAAATTCCACATATGAGTGAGATCATATGGTATTTGTTTTTCTCTGACTGACTTATTTCACTTAGCATAATACCCACTAGCTTCATCCATGTTGTTGCAAATGGCAAGATTTCATTCTTTTTGATGGCTGAGTAATATTCCATTGTGTGTGTGTGTGTGTATACCACCTCTTTTTTTGTTAATTTTTTATTGTTATGTTTATACCACCTCTTCTTTACCCATTCATCTGTTGTTGGACACTTGGGACCTTTCCATAGTTTGGCCATTGTTGATAATGCTGCTATAAACATCAGGGTGCGTGTATCCCTTCGAATCTGTATTTTTGTATCCTTTGGGTAAATACCTAATAGTGCAATTGTTGGATCGTAGGGTAGTTCTATGAAAACACATTTATTGAAAATAAATTTGAAACTGTTCAGTATGCAAAGAGAAAACTGATTTGGTGGCCTCATAGCATTAAGAATTCAATTTGAGGTAGCAAGCGACACCCTTTTAGAAACTGCTCATGACATTCATAAAGATTTGCAACTTAGAACATAAACCAAAGGGGGCTGGGGGCCTGAGAGCCAGGATTCATCTACTCCTAAATGGTGTTTTAAGTGAAATTAATATTTTGAGCAGAATAATGCAGGAATCCAATTTGATGCCCTTACAAGCACCAAAGGAAGAAAGGATAACACAAGATCAGTGATATGTTAAAAATTTTTGAGTCTCGGGCGCCTGGGTGGCTCAGTTGGTTAAGCGACTGCCTTCGGCTCAGGTCATGATCCTGGAGTCCCGGGATCGAGTCCC